GGTTTTATTTTTGTTTACAGATTTTATAATGTCCTTGATCTCTGCTCTCCTTAACCATTTACTCTCTGAATGGTACCCCTTGTGACCTACCTTTTACCTATACAAAAATCAATAATCTCTTTCTACTTTCCCCCTTTTCTCTCCCTTCTTCATCCAATTATTTTTAGTTTCATCCTTTATACCTTGTTAGAATGTATAACATTTCCATGCTATTCTTCTACTTACCTATGTCCTCAGCCTTAGTTCTACAATTAAATATATAAAACGCTCACCATCAGTCCTTTTGCTGAAATTTCTCTAGTTATCTCTTTGGTTTGGTGAAATGCACCCTCTCATATATTTCTGAGAGAGTCAACCTTTGTAAAATATTTCCTGAGCTCTTTCATGCTTAAAAGTGGAGGCTTGAACTTAAAAGAACAATATAGCTGGATATAAAATCCTTCATTTGAACTTTATTCTCTTGAGTTTTTGAAAGTAACAAGTAATGAGTAGTTAACATTTAACTACTGCAAACTATCTATAATTATTGGCTGCTGAATTATTATGATTTAATTGTATCTGGCAGATTTGGGTTTTAGTTTATAAAATATATAGAAGAGGACTTTGTCTCTTTTTGAATGATAGTATTAGTTTTTTGACAGAAGGAAGAGAACATGGAGCGATATGGTATTGATAGATATTTTTCCACATATCAGAGTACATCTGGACTTAAGAATCTAAATGAATTTAATCAAACAGTTGATAATCCAGAAAAGAAATACATCAAACAACCATGTCTCAAAAATGTAACAAAATTAAATCAAAATGATTAAATAACTACAGTCTAATATTTTTACAACTTTAAAAATAGTGCTTTTGTTATTTCCTTACAAAAATTTCCCAATTATACTTTAAAATAGTGGTTCTCAAAACGTGGTTCACAGATCCCTGTGGGTCCCCGAGACTGTTTAAGTGAGTCTACAAGGTTATAATTATTGTCAAAACATACTAAAATATTATTTATCTTTTTCAGTGTGTAGACATTTACATGATGGTGTCAAGTAATGGTGCATAAAATTGTTGGCAACTTAGCATAAGCCAGTGGCAACAAATAGTACTGGTAGATACTTTATTTATTTATTTACTAACATGTACTTCCAGGGAACAAAATGTCAGTTATACTTAAGAGTATCCTTGATGAATCAGTTCAGTTGTTTAAAAATCTAGTCCCTTCAGTACATGTCTTTCTAATATTCTATGTGATGAAATGAGAAATATACATAAAGCCTATCTGCCACATACCAAAATATAATAGTTGAATTGAGAAAATACATTTGTGCAATTTTTTGAGTTGCAAACTTAACTAGTCTTTATTTTATGAAATATCATTTTTACTTTAAAGAACAATGGACATTTTACCTTAAAGAACAAAGACAAACTCGGCTTATTAAGGCTTGTGTAATTTCTCAGGCTTTCTATGACACTGTTCACTCCTTAAAGGCTTGGACTGTATTTTACTCATCTGTGTATCCAGAGGATACAGTAAGGTGATAAACATTCAATAAATGAATGTATGAGTCAATGATTGAACTAAATATTTAATAAATGGCATTACATGTTTCTTAACTTTTTTATTAAACTCTTCCAGTTAAAACTCAGGTAATGGGAGAAATCAAGATTGCATTGAAGAAGGAAATGAAGACAGAGGGTGAACAACTAATAGTTGAAATTCTGCAATGCAGAAATATTACATACAAATTCAAGTCTCCTGATCATTTACCAGGTATCTAATTTTATGATAATGATCAATATAATCTATCTAGGAATTTATTAGGAGTATGTCTTAAATATTCAGGAAAATGCTAACTAAAGTTTTAACTACGCCAAATAATCAGAAAAATGAGAAAAAAGAATTGATTAATATATGGAACAAGTTATTTTGTTCCAGTTTTTTTCTAGTTTTTAGCTATATTTTTGAACTCTCAAGTTACAGTAATATTCCTGTTAGAAAACAGAAAAATAAATTTAAATTGCTAAGAAGATTGGCATATCTTTTAATTACTTTACGTTGTCTGATACAAATCATACACAATCCGCTGGCTTTGTATAAAATGTAGGAAGAACTCTCAGTATACAATTATAATTCTTTCAGTAGAAATTTGTAAGATCGATAGACACTATGGACTGAATTCTTATTTTCAGATTTATACGTGAAAATATATGTGATGAACATCTCTACTCAGAAAAAGGTGATCAAGAAAAAAACAAGAGTATGCAGACATGATCGAGAGCCTTCATTCAATGAAACCTTTAGATTCAGTCTAAGTCCTGCAGGACACTCTCTACAGGTAACTCTACATTATACAGTTGTTATTTTTAAATTTTCATTCGTGTTGTATTTGTTTATTTTCCATTCAATTATTCAATATTTATATACTGTTCACATACTATACGACATTTGAGAAGTTAATTAATCCTTGGCGGCATCTCCCTAGGAGTTGTTTAGAATTCCACAGCCCACTCACCCTATCCGATCAGCTGCCAAGTCTTCACTGTCTGCTGAGTTTATTTTATACAGATTTTTCTTGCTTTTTTGCTCACTATCGCTACTCCTGTTTGGGCTCCCCTCTTTGTTATTCAAATCATTTTGTTGGTTTACCTGGCCTGTTTGTCATTATTGTCTTATCCCTTTAATTCCTTTCATCACAGAGCTGCCAGAGTTATCTTTTTAAAACCCTCCTTGGTTAGTTTACATTAAAGCCTTTCAATGACTCACCATTATCTTGAATCATTCAGACTCCTCCAAGGTGAGTTTTAATTGTGTTGACTTAGTCTCAGGTCCTTGGATACTTTTCCACTCACTCAGTACTCCAGTCACATCAGAATCTTTTCAAATCAGGCTAAGCCTCTAATCCTTTGTTCATATTTTTCCTCCCTTTCAAAGCTCCCTTCTCCATCTCTCTCCATCCTTCACAATATTCCAATCTTTCTGTGCCTCTATTGACAACCCTGGTTGTAATTAATCACACCTTATTCACAAAACATTTTGCTTATCTTATTATGCTATTAATCCCAGTCTGTTTTGTACAATCATTTATATACTTACCTGTCACTGCTTCTGTGCTCTCAGTTTCCCTAGGACAAGGCCAAATTTTCATTGGTCTTTGTCCTACATCCTAACACAATGCTTTGCACATGGTATGTCCTCAGGAGGAGAAAGATTGAAAAAATACGGGAAGAAACCATTGTACTGAAATTTAAAGTTTTGCACTAGAGATAAATGTAAGAGATATTACAAAGCAAAAATGCATTGAGAGGTTTAGATCTATTAGAGATCATTAGATCTATTAGAGATTATTTTTTAATAAAAATTAAAAGATACTGTCAACAAATGTGTCAATCACAGAGATTAATTAAGTAGTCAGAGAGGGAAGCTGGGTAGGGAGAAGATCATGAGTTTGAAATGAATTTAATAAGAAGACAGAGACTCAAGTGAAAATATTTGAAATCCTAAAACCAGAAACCAGGAGAGATAGTCACATCTAGAAATACAGCTTTTGAAGCCAGAAACATAAAATTAAAATTTTAGTCAGGAATAAAGATGAATTATCTGAAGGAGATACTGAAGAGAAAGGGAGAAAGAAGAAAAAAGAATTATCAAGGATTAATGGCTAGCTCTACCAAATGCTCTCTACCTTTCTTTCAACTGATCTCTAAAAGAAAAAAAAAATTCCTTTAGTTTGACATCCTGCGGGATAATATAGGTTCTACACATATGACTTAAGAAACCACTTTGGAAGTGCATACTGTAGTAAAATCACCAGTAAATTAGATACTAAGTAAAATCAATGCCTTGTGAACTTCTATTTATTTATTCAGCATTTCAAATAACTTTGTATTTGATTTAGTATTTCATAAACTAATAAAAATTGTATTTATCAAAGTTATTTTGTGAAACTTTCCATCAGTTTAAGCATAAACTTAGTTAGAATTAGCTGGTTATACATTTCTTATCTATTAATAGTGTTCTTATATCTTTCAGGATGTGTCTTTTCCTTTAGGGAATAATAAAAATGTTGATGTGAATTAATTTGTATTATGCAAATCTTTTGAGGACATCTTGATTATTAGTTCTCTTTCAAGTATGCCTGCTACTTCACTCACCCTCAACCTCTCTTGTCTGTGCTATTTCTTTAATGATTAAATGTCCTTAAAAAAGGACATTGAAAATATGCATATATATGTGTATATATTAAGTATACATAATTTTGGCTATTTTTTTCTAGATTTTGCTTTTCTCCAATGGAGGGAAGTTTATGAAAAAGACCTTGATTGGTGAGGCCTGTATCTGGCTTGACAAAGTGGATCTCAGAAAAAGAATAGTCAACTGGCACAAACTTTTGGTCAGTCCTACTCAAACGCATTGAAGAAATGTGTCTGCTCAGGGTATAGAAACTGCTCTAAATAGCCACCAAGCAAGACTTATAGTTGGATATTATTGTACTAAGCTATGTTTTCAGGGGCAAACATGAGAGGCTTTAAGCATACTTAAAGCCATGTAAATTTATTGTTATGGAACAAACAAAACAAAGACTCAAATGAAAAAGTTCACAGGTTAAAGACAAAAATAAAAATTGCAGCTCTGAGACCTTGAATTTTTCATGGCTGTCAAGAGAAACTGAGAGAAATTTTGATTACTGAAGGCAAAAATCTTTGAGTAGAGTTGAGCTGTAGCTTAAGACAGAGGCTCAAAGATTAGTATTGTTTCCAGTGCAACACAAAGGTAATCCTTTATGCAGAGAAATCTTGGTTGAAAATAAAGAACTTATATAACACATGTTAGTTTTCAAAAGTTAAAAAATCTTTCTTCTTCATCTTCTATCCTCAGACAACTTACTGTTTTGAGCTTCTGACATAAGCTACACCTACAATATGTGTCCAGAACTGGAAGTGAGGTAGCTGTGTTCTTAGGCAAAATGGAACAGGAGATGTAGAAATTGTGGCTTATAGATCATATTGTACAGGTTTTCTCTGTGTCTAAATGTTATAAGGGTGTACAACACCAATTTTGGAATCCATATGGTAAAAGCACATTTGTTTCAGTATAATTTGAAATAATGTAGAATGAAGATAATACTAGGTAGAAATAAAATTATATTTATCTAGAAATAACACCACAACTGGCTAACAAAGAAGAATGTTGCCCCACAAAATATTGGAATTTTGAAGGAAAACATCAAAATCTCCATAAATTACCATTAAGCCAAGGCATTTTCAATCTATGTACCAAAGGACCTAGATTAAATTGGTGTGTTCTAAGAAGCATGATAACTTATTTTTTGTGGAATTGCAAATAAATGTTTTATCCTGAATATTTCTCTCCTCTTGAGTGATGTATTGACAGAGAAAGAAAATTCTTCCTCTGGCAAACAAACCATACAAACATTGATTAATTAAATTAGTGTCATTTCCTCTTTTCCATATGTTTTTTCCCATTTTTCCCCTGATGAGTTAATTTATTAAATTAACTAATTTCATGATTATATAAAGAAAACCCGACACAAAACTCAAGCTCTCTGTAGTGCTCTGTTTTCGTCCTTAGTGACAGTATCACAGTGATCAAGTTCATCGATGCTGGGAAAATATATGAACAGTCAACATTTATTGAAATTAAAATATACTCTGAGCTATTTTAATAATATAGAATAAAACAACTAATTCTTAAGACTAATTTTAAGTCTTAAAATGCAGCATCGTTTTTTCCATCAACAACATTAATAAAGGAAGTAACATGGAGTTGTGGAAAACAGACTCAGCTGGGATTAAAAGCCTGGCTTCTGGTCTTGGTTTTGCTACTGACTATGTCACCTTGCATATGTCAGTGAAACTCACTTTCCCCCAGTTTTCTTACCTGGGATAAAAATAATTATATATTCTTAGCCTTCCAAATGGGATGTTGGGATGATCAAATCAAGTGATCTGTGAAAGATGAAAGCACATTTCCAAATATAGTTTTATACACAGAAGTGAGGAATAATCATTATGCAACTTTTTAATTCTCAAATTTTATATGTGAAAAAAAATTCCTCTAAACCAATGGAAAGCATTGGTATGGATAAAAGCAGTAAATTAATTCCAAAACTGTTTGTTTTTTTGGTTTAAAATATCAACTTTCATTTAACCTGAAAAAAGGTAAAGAATTAAATGAAAATGATTTGCAAATTTTGGTATCCTAAATTAAATGAGTTATACTAACCTTGTCCCATTCCCATTTCCTACCCAAAATAAATAAATCAATTTTCTTCTCAGAGCATTCTGAGTTAAAAGCTACTGCTTTATTCAAGGATGGGATTAGAAGAAACCATCTCCAAAAGACCCGTTGAATACTGAATTTTCTCATTTTTAAAGAAACAATACTTGGAGTTTGAGATGCACATAAAACACTAAAAATAAAAAGAATTTCTATTTGTAATATATCCCCAGCTATATATGTTTATGGTATTCAGAAAGAAATACAAATTCACTCTTCCCCAAACTAAGAAAGATAACCATCACTTTTCTTCCATCCATTTTTTATCCCCCCTCCCCTAACAATGCAATGTCATTTGCCATTGATATTGCTCTAAAATGAGCATGGGGGAGGAGAATCATCAAAGATATGATATTACTAGGATTTTATTTTTAGAAACTACTAGATCTGCTGATGGTTGCCATGGATATTTCCAGCAGACGCTAGCACTTGAAGAAGCCTGTAATCATCACTCACAATTGGGGAAGAAAAGGGTCTAGGAAGATCTCCTTCTGACATAAAAAGTCTTTGCTATTTGTCCTTAAAAGGAAACCCTGGCTCACTTTTGGTTGTCTTTTGCACCTCCACTCCAATCCAGAGGTATGCACGAGAGGTTGAATGACCAGTTAGCTCACTTCATTGCAGTTGCAGTTTCTTTTAGAATAATATAAATGGAGGGACCACCAAAACAAAGATCATCTCTTGGTAGCTATTTAACCTGAAAGAGTTGGAGTCTTTCCATTATAGGTGCCCCTCCATTCCAAGGAACTAGTCATGGGGTGAGGTCAATCAATCAAGAGAGTTAATGACAGGGCTTCTTTTTGTGCACCAGCATTCCCCTTCAGAGAGCATAAGATCCTGCCAGTGTGCCAAGTTTGCAGCTGACCAAACTCCTGGGTTGTACTGGAATTATTCTATGCAACACTGATCCTTAAATGAATGCATTTCTTCTGAATGGTGTTAATTACCCTTCTTACAACAAAACTATTTCTTTTTTAATTGCAAATAGGGCTCTTGGTGTTTTTTACTTTTTTGTATATATCACAGCACATGGTTTTCCACTTTTTATTTTATTTTATTTTATTGTAAATGAGATTGGCTTTTTGATTTCTTTCTAAGCTAGATCACTTTTGGTATACAGAAATGCTACTGGTTTTTGTACCCTTGATTTTGTATCTTGCAACTTTACTGAATTCATTATCAAATCTGAGAGATTATTGGTGGAGTCCTTGGCATTTTTGAGATATAAGATCATATCATCAGCAAAGAGTGACAATTTGACTTCCTCTTTTCTGAAATACAGTTTTTAAAAATGCTATCTTGACCTAGTTTCAAGGCCCTGGCTAGGGGCTCATAAATTTGCCTTCTTGAGCAGCCAGTCAAGTCCACATCGGCAACCACCTTCCTTATCTGGCTGTCACACTCTAAGCCACTATATATCTGCAGTGAGAGCCCTGGGGTTAGGTACCCAACAACCAGAGACAAATCCTTTGCCCCCAAACCCACTGAAATTATTCAAATTAGCTAATGTTAAACCTGCCCGCCATGCCTCACCCTCTCCTAACCACAGACACCACCATGAAGGCGCTTGCCCACAGTTGCCTCCCACACTCCACACCCATGTGATCATCCCAGTGCCTTTGCCGAGTGCCCCTGCACCCAGCTCTGTGTTCTCTCCAGGGAACCACGAGTACAACGAAAGTGTGAAACTCTTCCGGTTTCTCTCTCTTGATCTGCGTCCGGTTTCAACATACCTCGCCCAAGGTAATACGGTTAAAACACACTCACTCTAAACACTTTTTGATGCTACTTCTAGTATGTATTTTCATATTTCACAATATTAATAATATGCTTATATTGCCTTTACCTGATTTTTCTTTTTTATAATTATA